GTCCTAATGACTTCTTTTCTTGTTCTCTTTTTGTTTTTACTTTTTATTTTTAGTCATCTTTATGTCCCTGTCTCCACTGGCACCCTTCCACAGCTCCCCGTTCCCACTTGAGCCCATATACTCAGTTATCCCTGTCAAGGCCCACTGGTTATATTATGTTGTTTTTGAGATAGGTCTCGCTATGTAGCCCTGGCTGACCTGGAACTTGCTATATAGACCAGACTGACCTCCAACTCACAGAGATCCATCTGTCTCTGCCTCCAGAGTGCAGGTATTAAAGGAGTGTGCCATCATGCTGGGTTCCTTATGACTTCTTTGTGTAAGTGAGAAAAAGGCACACCCAAAACTAAGACTCATTTCAGCCACATGCTCCCCTAGCCTGGGGCATGAACACTCTGTGCTGAATGGTGGGGAGCAGCAGGTGCTAGGAGGTAGGCTTTGGCTCAGAGAAGAGGTTTCTTAATATAATTGTAGTTTCATGACCTTTTACCTGATCATTTCAGCAGCACCTTGACTCTTGTTTCTCTCATCTCAGGCTCCCCTTTTCCATTTCATCCTACACATTACAAACAGAGTGATCTTTCTAAAGCCCAAATCTTATGTTTTAACTACTTAAGATTCTCAACGGATGACATATTCAAGCTTGGCATGAGACCTTCCAAAAGCTGAAATATCCCTAGGACTTAGATCTTCAGCTCCATTTTGCACTCCATTCAGAAAAGCTGTCTATGTGGTGGCTAAGAACAGCAGCACCAGAACTTAATGGTAAAACTATGATGCCACATACATTGGTCACGTGACATGAAACAATCAAGTTGGTATGTCCAGGATCCTCTCTGCTTGCTAACACTCACAATTCCAGAAGGTGCTATGGAGGCTGCTGGGATAGGGTAGGGTGGAGGGTGGGAAAGTCATCAACAGTCTTACCCAGTTGTGAACCCTGTGAACTGTAATAATGGCCAGTGTGGCAAGATATGCCCATGGGTTCAACAGTGGCATAAAAGTTATAGGGGTAATCAACCATGTTTTGACTGAAATCTATGGGCTACTTCACAAGAGGAAGCACTTGCCTGGTATAGTAAATCTAGCCAAGAACCTGTGGGTGGGGAACTCACAGGCCCCAGGAGTGAACCTAGTACTATTATTCTGATAAATGGACATAAGTAACAAACTGCTTTCTAAATTCATGTCTCTATATCCACAGTTAGTGCAGCCCTCAGACCTCATTAAAGAAATTTCTTTGTGCAGTGGACTGTGATTAATGCAGAAACTCAGAACCAGCCAAAGTGCAGAGAATAAATTTCAGCGGAGCACCCAGCCACAAACTGGTTATCTATATCACATACTCCTCCCCCTAAGGTTCAGGGATCTTCATGAAAGAGGGGATAGAAAGATTGTAAGAGCCAGAGGTCAAGGAGAATGGAAGTGAAACACTGTCTTCTGGACATGACAGGCTGCTGCACTTATAACAGCAGAATTCATAGCAGCTGTAGTTGCCTGCACAAGATCAAACAAGTCAGCATCCTAGCATGGAGTTGGAAAAGTGGGATGGAGTTCATGAGCTCCCACCCCTAACTGAAGAGCTATGGCCAATTAATGGTTTCTGAGGGAGGGAGGGTCAGTTTTCTTTAAGGGTGTGATTTCTGGTAGGTCGACCACTACATTTCAGTGCATGGTCCATACCCAGAAGTATATGAGCAGCACAAACTGGGGTTCGTGGGTTATTACAAAAATGACGCTCTGGGGTGCTTCTGAGAGATGGCTCAGCGTTTAAAAGCACTGGTTGCTCTTGCAGAGGACCTGGGTTTGATTCATCCACATGGCAGCTAACAACTGTAACTTCAGTTCCAGGGAATCCAACACCCTCTTTTGACCCCCATGGGCATTGCATGGCACAGGTGCACTTACATGCATGCAGGCAATACATTCATATACATAAAATAAAAACAATAAGTTTTTAAAAAAGAACAGAAGAATAAAAGAAAAGAGAGAACAAATTTGGTAGGGAATAGGGAATAGGTGGATTTGGATGAAGTTAGGGGGTGAATATGATCAAAATATACTGTATGAAATTCTCAATTAATAAAACTATTTTTAAAGGACAGGTCTAGAAGACTGGCCTGGAACCAAGTGACTTAACTGCTCTGTGCTAGGTATCTCACCTCCTACTGGAGATGGTAATTGTAGTGTTCAGTTACAGGAGCAATAAGCACATAAGAAGGCCTGATATCACACAATGATATACCAGCATACCCTGCTGTTAGCAGTAGTTAATGTGACTGAGAGGATGAGGAGGGGCACAGCAGAAGAATGAAAGCTGGAGCTGAACTTTGGAGGATGGAGTGGTGTTTCCTAGAAGTCATACAAGGCAGAGGGTCAACATGTAGAGTGTTCAGGTGTAAGAGTGCATATGGAGGCCCCATAAAATAGTGACACCACTCACTTGTTTATTAATGTCAACACTACACATTTAATTTCTCCTCATAGTTATGTTTTGTTTTCACATCTGGCCTGTAAGCAGAGCTGTGTGATTTACTGACCAGAGACAAGAGAGAATGGGCATTTGGCCAATGGAACAGAGGCTGATAGTGCCCCTATATATTCCCTGGGGTGCTTGTACTAGTTACTTTCTGT